TTCCTGTTCTTCTTTAGAAAGTAGTAGTAGCTTCAGAGATTGTGACTTCAGTTCTCAGTTGATTGCCCCGTCTAGCAAATAACTCAGAACTAAGAGTGGATGCTGTGTCTTAAATGCTGTCCATGGTTCTGATTTTGGCTAGATGGAAAACCAGGGTCAGGGACACCTCTTTTTCAAAAGTATCCCAGCCTCTTCCAGGCACTAGGCTATTGGGAAACTGACAGGCAAGCTCAGCCAGTACCTGCCTTGCTTCAAGCCAAGGGCTTGAAACCCTGCACCTCCTACTCCACAGGCCAGGTGGGGGCACACTGGGGAAGCCAAGCCCAAGAGCTGCTGGGCCCCCGTTTCAGAGCTTATTTTCTATCTCAAAGCCAGCTAGAGATGCAGGGTACCCTGATTTGTGATCTGCAGCTTCAAGTCTCTAAAGCTTGGAGTTCTGGAGCTTAAGCTACAGGAGTAGTCAGGTTTCCTTACAAAAGATTGCACACATGGAGGGGTGGCCAGGACTAACTGTAAGGTAATACACATGGCCCCAAAGAAAATCAGATACATTGGGATCCATCCATTCCCTTATTCATTCTTGAATGAGGGCTCTATGCAGCACTGCATTGGACTGGGAATAAAATAGTGGGGGAAAAATCACCATGATCCTCACTAAACCATACAACAAGGGAGACTGTGGAAATAAACTAAATCTCAGAAAGAGTAGGAAGAAACTTTTAAAAAGTGATGTTTCTGTCAGCAAGAGATGATGGTATTGAAGGCAGTGCCCAACTGTTCCTAGGGAGTGATTTTTTTCAAATACGTTTTTTCTTGTGTAAATACTGTACCCAAGGGGTTACAGTTACATGAGCAAGGTAATGAGTACATTTCTTATCAAGCATTGCTGCCTCCTCCTGTTTTTCCCCTACCATCCCTTCTCCCCTCCCCTCCACCCCCGCCCTAAATTGTAAAGTTCGTTTTTCAACATATTGTCTTGTACATCTCATTGTTGCCATGGGTCAACCTGTAACCCTATTTAAACATTTTTCCTTCCCCTCCCCAAAGGGAGTGATTTTTTATATTTTTATTGTAAAGATACTGTACAGAGGGGTTACAGTTACATTAGTAAGGTAATGAGTACATTTCCTATTGAGAATTGTTACCCACTCCTTTGTTTTTCCCCTACCATCCCTTCCCTCCCCATTTCCCCAACTCCTCCCTCCCCCCCACAGTTGTAAAGTTTTTTTTTCAACATAGTGTCTTGTGCATCTCATTGTTGCAATGGGTCAACCTGTATCCTTGTTTTAGCATTTTCTCTTCCCCTCCCCAAATTAGAAAACTGTATATACAAGATGCAGGGTACCAGAATCAAATACAGTGAAAACAGGGGTTATGCTAGGGGGAAAGAACATACAAAAGAAACAAAAAAAATCACATAGTACATTAAAAACAACAGCAACAAAGAAAAAACCTTGTGTCCCTATCTTGGGCTTCATTTCGCTTAGCATCATCTTATAGTCATGTGTATAGCTTTTGACCTTTTCTACTTATCTGGTATTATCCTAGACATATACTATTTGTTGCAAATAAGGGAAACCATGGGACCTATGTTTCTTTAGGCCTGGCTTCACTTAATTTTTTTCCAAGTCTTTCCATTTCCTAAATATTGAGGCAGTGTCATTCTTTCTGATGGTAGCATAGAATTCCATATATATATATATATATATATATGTATATATATCACATCTTCTTGATCCATTCATCTACTGAGGGGCATCTGGGTTGGTTTCATTTCTTAGCTATGGTAAATAATGCTGCAATAAACATAGTTGTGCTGGTAGCTTTAGTATGGCCTTGTTTGTGATCATTTGGGTAAATGGCCAAAAGTGGGATTGCTGGGTCATGTGTAGTCTTTTGAGAGACCTCCACACTGCTTTCCAAAGTGGTTGAACAAGTTTACACTCCCAACAATGCAGTAGGGTTCCAAGGGGGTGGTTTCTAAAATGCAGTATGAGAGCTGGTCCAAAACTCTGTAAGGAGTGGGAAGGGGGCTGAGTGGACAGAGATAATTAGCTATAAGGTCTGAGTCATCAACTTGGAGAACTCAGGGATTTGGGAAGTACAGCCCTTGGGAGAGCTCGTTTCATCTCTGACATTACCCCCTTATCTTCCATTCAACAAATGCTCATCATCTACTACATGGCAGGCACTGTGTGCAGGGAATTTGAAACAGTGAAGGGCTAATTCCATCTTCAGAGACGAGGGTACTGTCCATACTTTCTCCTTCTCCTTTGTTATAAAAGAATCCAGTTTTCATCCTTTGTTCTTCAGAGAATGAGCACATGTAGTTGTCAGAAAATCATGATAAATGAAGAAAACAATGAAAAACCAGGAACTATCAGAAGAATGTGTGTAAAGGAACACAGGGACAAAGTGAGTTGTGTGGTTTAAAAGTTAGTATTGCACTGTTTTCATGGTTGAGAGGCAGTCAGGAGGTGAGGCTGAGGTATCCAGTAAAGGTAGGAGAATGCAGAGAGACTTGAATATGCAGATTGCCATTTTGTTTTTAAAAGAAACCACTTTGACAGTGGTTAGAGAATGGAATGTAATCTAGTAAGAGTGAAACTGAGAGACTAGATATGAAATGACAGTCTGTGGCAAGAAGATTTGACAACTTTCCAGTTTGATTTCCCATATAATTTATTCCCTTGTGGTAAATACTGATGACAGAAGGGTAGAAATGTTTGCACTGCCATCTCTTCCCTTGTTTACCTTTAAATTTCATTTTCTTCCAAGCTAAAAGTCAAAGGTTCTAGTATAAGACATACGTTCCAGCCTCCCTTTTATAGATAGTTTTAGATATGGCATACTAAATACACTGCTCAATATCATAGAACTTAGATTTTCCCAGTAATAACAGAATTTTCACATCTTTTTCATTCCAAGTTTAGTTTTCCAATTCTTTTCTTTTTAAATTGTATTTTATTGTAAAGATGCTGTACAGAAGGGTTACAGTTACATGAGTACGGTAATGAGTACATTTCTTATTCTTTTTTCTACTATCCCTTCCCTCCCGCACCTCCCATTTCCACCTGTTGTAATCTAGCCACAAACTCGTGCTGATCCTAACTCCTTCATGAGTGTGGATGGTTGAGGGCTACAGGGTGGACTGTTGGTAATTCTGATCCCCCCTACAAATAAATCTTAAGAATTTTAACTCCTTGGCCACAATGCTGATTCTAGTTGGGGTTTCTCAGCTTTGGCAATATGCATATTTTGGTTTGGGTCCTTTCTTGTGGGAGCCTGACCTCTGTATTATACGATGTTTAGCAACATCCTTGGCCTCTACTTACTTGCTGTCTGAAGCTTCTTGGTTGTGACAACTAAAAATGGCCACATCTCCAGCCCCAGTTAAGAGCCACTATTCTAAGGAATAGGCAGTTAAGAAAAATTACCCAAAACTTAAAACCAGGTAAAAGATTAGTGAACATTTTTGGCTGGAGTTCGAGACATTGACAAACAGGCTGGAGATTTAATTTTTTCAGACTTAATCTGCTGCATGATCAGATTTACAGCTCTGTAAGCGTAGAGATCCTGATAGGAACATGATAGCATTACAAATAATTCTTTTCCACTAGCATTACGTATTGTCAGTAATATCAGAATTACTTATTGACATATAAGGCCAATTTTGCATTTGCCTATTGCTATTGTAGTTTTTCAAATTCCTTTTTTTTGGAATGTGAATGTTAACTATGTAAAGTTTGCTTTCCATTTATAGCTAGTTGAGGGAGAAAAAAACTGATGGGTCCTGGAGTATGGAAACCAAATTCTTTGTTCTTGCTCTTATAAGCCCTCCACTGCCCCTGAACATGGCTAGTTTGGAATATGTCCACCAATGGTGAATGGCAGAAGGGACCCAGCTTCTCCTCCCCTCCTTATCCCCAGTGCTGCATATCAAACCCTGGGCCTTCTTTCACCCCTGAGCTGCAGCCCTGGTCCTAGCGCTGGTGTTTAGGAGAGCTGTCCCTTTTCATGCAAACCCTCCAAATTTATCTTCCTTGAGAGAAAATGTAGAGGCGCCACCGGCTGAACCCACCCTTTCTGTCATAATTAATGCACCAAATGTGTGAATAAGTTATCCTGTGGACTCCAGAGAAAATTGGCTGCCAGATGACTGCCACCACAGGACTCCAGTGATAGCATGAAAGGCAAGAAATGCCAAGTCCTTTCTCAATTCTAATCTACCAAGTCCTGACTTTTAGTGTTTGTTTTGAGCTACAAAGTTCTGGGATGGTTTGTTACATAGCTTTAAATAACCAGGATAGTCTTTCAGAAAAATGTTCATTGTATCATTATTTTCTAGTTTTAATCCCAATATCACATGCCCCTGAAGAAATTTAAGCCTCCTTTTCTTTTACAACAGGTTACAGAAAAGTGTTCACAGGAGAACTGGACCCCCATGTCTACTAAAACTAGTGATCTGGAAGCTCAACTACTAAAGAATTGCCTGAGAAATTATCTGAAGCCCTAGTTAAGGACTTAGCTATATATTCTTAGTGAGTCTTGTGCAGGTCATAGGAATCTCAATTTTAAGATATCCACCCAAGTGATTTCTGACATTGGTGGTCCCAAGAAGATACAGGAAAGGCATCCCAGTAAGTGATGTGAACAAGACTGTAGTAGTCCAACCAAGGCCTTCAGAATGAATGGAAAACAAAGCACTTAATGTTCGGATCCCATCCTCCAGTTTGATTTCTAAGCTTGAGTTCTTTATCTCTTTATCGAATTAAAAACACCTTATTTACCCAAAGTTTTGTGTGTTTTTTTATTGTATTTTAGTTACTTAACCCCTGTCAAGTACAATGTGTGTTTTAGAGAGAAGTGACTAACCTGTACCTAAGGAATATCTAGTGTGATATCTCTGGGAATAAAGTGTTTTACAAACTAAGAACCTAAGACTTCCACTATGAGATTCTATTATTTTTATTTTTTGAAGAAGCACCAGGTTTCCCAAGTCAGAAACACTGCCACCAGGACCCATCTTCTTCATTATTGTCATTACTGTATGACTTAATCACTAGGTGTGGGTTGCTAACTTCCACAGCTTCCAGTAGCTTCTGGGTTTGCTTGTCAAATGAGTCTTTAGATAACCTGAGAAAACAAGGGAACATGGTTTTTGAACTTCCCTCAATTGCCCCACAGATATCTACTTTTCTGTGAAAGATTTTAGTGTTTGTGTAGGGAGAGAACCTGTCTGATAATGTAGAAAATAAACTTGAGTGAAAAGAGAAAAAAGAGAACCAGTGATTACACAGTGAAGGAGACACAGCAAAGGAGAATGAAATATAGAAGAGAAGTGGATTAAAATTTAGAAGAGTCCTTCATAAGCTATTTTCTCTAAGCAAAGATGAAGGCAGCTAACTTACTCATTCACTAGTTATGTTAAGTAGTAGTATATATTTAGTCTATACTTGCTCAGTGACAAAGATTAGGGAACTGCCTAAACAGTTAAGACCAGATTCAGATAGTTAGGCTCCAGAATGTTCAGATCATAACCAACATGCTGAATTATGTCATTCAGAGATCTAGGATATCCCAACTGGTCTACAATCAGGTGGATTCTGTGGTCTGAAATGAATGAGAGGGTTCCCCAATCCATCACTACAGGAAGCTGCTAAAGACTTACCCTAGAACTTGTAATTTACATTCTGGAGACCTCAAGACTTCACATAATATTCTAATTCCTTTACTCCCTAGATTATTCTGTGAGAGGTTCAATTTCATCAGTCTTTGGTTGTTGAGAAGAGATGAGGATAGGTCTTCACAACAGACAGAGGTCAAACCACACTGTTCCAACCTATAGAGAAGACAGAAAAGACAGATGACTTATCTCATCACAAAGCAAACATACAAGAGATCTATGAGTAGGGAATTATTTCAGAAACTGGAAAAAGGTAGATATGGTGGTGAATGCCTGTAAGTCTAGCTAACTGGGAGGTAAAGATAGGAAGATCTCAGTTCTAGACCAGTCCAGTCAAAAAGTTATCAGCACCCCATCTAAACCAATCTAAGCTGGGTGATCATGCCTGATGTCCTACCTATGTAGGACAAATAGGAAGCTAGGTCCAGTCCCACCTGGGAAAAAGGATGAGACCCTATCTACATAACATGATCAAAGCAAAAAACGGTTGAGGGCATGGCTCAAGTGGTAGAGCACCTACTTAACAAGCCCCTTGCTCTGAATTCAAACCACAGTACCACCAAAAAAATTTAAAAAGTTAGGGTATATTCAAGAATTACGGTATCTATAATATTTTAATAGCTATTTATAGGTGGACATACCTTTTCTGAATGAGAAATTAAAAGTTCATAGTTACAGTCCAAGCATACTATGAAATACTATGAAACAAATTAATTGTTGAACTAGGATCACTAAAAACATATATATAGCAACATAGGCCAGGTGCTAGTAATCCTAGCTTCTCAGGAGGCTGAGATCTAAGCCCCAGGAAGGTAAGTCTTTTCTTTCTAGTTAGCCAGTAAAAAAGCTAGAAGCAGAGCTGTGACTCAAATGGTAACATACTAACCTTGATCAAAAAAGCTCAAGGACAATGCTGAGGCCCTAAGTTCAAGCCCCAGGACCAGCGCACGCACGCACACACACACACAATATAGCACCGTAGATTTTAGAACTAGATACTGTGTGTTTAAAGAGCAAGGAATATAATGTCTCTAGCACAGTGCCATTATGTAAATGAGAGTAATAATTCTATGACACATTTCAAGCTCATTAAATCAACTGCCTACACTTTGGAAAGAATAATCGATGGAGACAATTAACCATAAAACCAAGGTCCCTGGCACAAGCCATAGTATAATACAGGAACTATGTTAAACTCACTCTTTTGCACATGATATCCTCCAGCAACTTGAATTTAATTTTCACCTTATGCATTCCTAGCCATTGAAGATCTGAGCATATAAGTTTTAAAGTTGCTGCTGCCCACAGGGGATTTGCATTAATGTGGAAAAGAGTCACATTAATTATGATACAAGGTACATAAATAGAATACACAATATCCTAGGGGAAAAATCCATAGACAAAGAGTTTTAGAATCCATCAAGATGCCAGCGGTTCCTGCCTTTAATCCTAGACACTGAGGAGGCTGAAACATGAAAAAATGTGGTTTGAAAAAAGCACAGGCAGAAAATTCTGAGACTTCATCTCCAACTAGCCATCAGAAAACTAGACTGGAAGCATGGCTGAAAAGTGGTAGAGCACCAGTTATGTGCAAGAAAAGCTGAGAGCATGAATCCTTGAGATCAAACCCTGGTACCAGCATACACACACACACACACACACTGATTATTAGGATTAATAAAGTCTTCAAGTTCATAGAACAAATTTAAAGGAAAACTGGAACACCTGGAAGGTGATAGAATATAGAAGATAAAATTTGACACATTTTATATACATCTGTCAAAGACATGAACAATAAAAAGATGAAATATGGCTTCCAAACCAAGCATGCCACATGTTGATCCATTTGAAATTTTGTAGACTCATTTTTTAGTGGAACTTAACTTTAGCCCAATTTTTCATTTTCTCTCCATATATGAACTAGCCACCAAAGTAGATATCATTTTCATAATAGAAAACTGTGGCCTCACCCAAGACTCTCAAGGTTACAGCATGAATATCTCAAAGCATTACACAGGATTTGCATTCCTTCATTCTGCAATTTGTTGTTCCCCAGATCTAGGCTTCGCAGGTTGGGGTTGTTCAAAATAGAAGAAGCCAAATCCAGACAACATGCCCTACTTAGAGCACAGCCATTCAATCTGTAAGTGATACAAAAGAGAAGTGAGCCCTTCAATTCTTAGTTTCTTCCTCAGAGTTGCCTAGGAAACTTCCTTTTGTTTCTAAATCAGGAAAGTTCTAATTCTCAGAAAAAGATGGGATTTCTTTATTTTTTAAGTCTTGGTGTTTATTGTTATTCCTTGTAAGTACAACACGCTAAGAATATTTTTGTATGTTTTTTATCGTAAAAATGCTGTACAGAGGGATTACAGTTACATGAGCAAGGTAAGAAACCAGTGTGTAAAAATGTTTCTCTTGTAAATTAACTACTTTGAAGTTAGTGATTATGAAACAAATACATATTCATAGTTTCAGCTTCTTTTTCCTCCCTCAACCATGAATTCTTATGTCATTCAAAGAAATTAGGTTCATTTGTTTACTGAGCTAGAAATGTAGTATGTAGTTTCACTTTTTTAAAGTGAAACAGCTGTGCTAAGTTTTATCATTAACTTCAATAAAGTAGGCTTCATTTATTTAAAGAAACAAAAAATGTTTCTCACACTGGTTATAAATCAAACATATATAAAGCATATGAACACTTATTTTGACCAATATTTTAAAATACAGAATATAAGCTTTCAAAGGTACTAACATGTCTCTACCATTTACACTTTTTATGTATTTTTTTAAGACAAGCATTCTAGGATTCTATCTTAGTGTTATCTCCAAAGAATGAAGCAAGTTACATATAAAAAGATATCTTGTTGGGGTCTGGGAAGGTGGCTCAGTGGTAGAGTGCTTGCCTTGCACGCATGAGGCCCTGGGTTCGATTCCTCAGCACCACATAAGCAAAAAGAAAAAAAGCTGGAAAAAGATATCTTGTTATGGGTCATGGTGGGTCACACCTGTAATACTAGCTACTCATGAGGCTGAGGTCTCAGGAATATGGTTCAAAACCAGTCTGGGTAGGAAACTCCATGAAACTCTTAACTCCCTCAAACCCTCAGAAAAAAGCTGCATAAGAAGCTGTGGCTTAAGTGGTACAGTGCTAACCTTGAGCAAAAAAAAAACAAACTCAGGGACAGTGCCCAGGACCCAAGTTCAAGCCTCAAGATTAGCGCATGCCAGGTTCTCTAAGTGGCATTCAAGAGCACTCATAATCTGGCCTCAGGTTTTCAAAGTTTTCCTAATCTTTCGTGTGCATTTTCCTCAAAATACACCACATGTCCTGCCACTCCCTTCTCTTGTGCCTGCAGTAGCCCATTTGGCAAAATCCTCATCTTTCAAGCTTAAGTGACAAGACCCTACTGACACAACCCGTTCCTTGTTCTTTGCCATATCTTTATACCACCATATGGAATACATTATAAATTGATTTCCCTTTTCTTGTAATCAGCATTTTGCATTACTTGCAGATGAGATCACCTTAGTGATCATTAGTCCCCTTTACCTCTAGCTCCCACTTGTTGTAAATATTCAGAGTATTGATACAGCTTGCTTTCTCTGATGGATACTCAGATCTAAGTCTTTCTTCATGTACAATTCCTTTTTTTTCCACAGAGAATCAGTGGTTGAAACCACCCAAAAGTCAAGTCACAGATACCTACTCCAAATCCTGGAGATTACAGCTTGGCTTTCGAATGAGATTCCAAAGAGTTATCACTCCCTCATCTTCAAGCCTGTTTGAGCCCATATCCAAATGTGTCAGGCTCTTGTTCTGTAGAAGAGAGATTGAGAGACATCTACTGCCCTGTGAAGTGAAGTAGCAGTTCCTCAACCTACAGGAAGGATGAGAAAGAGGAAGTCATTGATCTGCTGCCCAGAGATATAGATCTTTGAAAAAGAAAGATTCATCTTATGATCCCTTACCTACTTTCCAGTACTCCATATCTCATTACCAGTCTGACTGATTAAGTCTATGGCAAAGAGGATTTCAAACTAGATTCATATTGTTTGGATTATAATTCAAATGCTAATCTCTTTACATTGCTTATGTGTAAAAGTAGCTACAGAGAATTGAGGAATGGGCAAGTGTAAATACTAAAAATAAGTATTCATTATATTTAAGTTTTTTATCGGTAAATAAGCATATTTATATATTCTTATTTACATAAAGATGCGTATTCTTTAGTTACTTATACAGAAAGAGACATCATGCCATTTGCGATTTTGTTACAACAAAACGGATACATGGGGGAAATAAGTAGAACCCTTATGACAAAATTAATTTGGAACTGAAGCCAGTAATCCTAGATACTCAGGAGGCTGAGATCTGAGGATCACAGTTCAAAGTCAGCCCGGGCAGGAAAGTCCATGAGACGATCTCCAATGGAATTGAACAATGTAATATTAAAAATTAAACATAACAAGATTGTACACAATATATTGTTGACAGAAACTGAAAGGAATTGTCACAAGGGTTTGGATAGGCAATTATTTATTTATAATTTGATTCCCTAATACTAACTCTCCTGCACGTTAGTGTTGATTTTCCAATTTACAGTTCACTTACAGGACTCAAACATGACTGGTAATGATGAGTCATGGGTAAATCCATAACACACACTATTAATATTTCTTACAAAGAAAAAAATTAACAAAGATTATGAGAAGATAATGAGGGAATTTTAAAAAGGCATTGCTGGATTAGATAAAAAAAAAACCCTCAGTCATCATGAGGCAGAATTTGTACAAACATTTTAAACTTCTAAAATGGCTATAAACTTGGAAATATGCCAGAAAACTTATTGATAAACTAGAAGGAAATTTACCCATATATGATTTTAAAAAATCACTTTGGTTTCCAAATGGAAATTATCTAGAGAAAATATACTCAAGGATTACATTGTGATCTGGCCATGCAATAAAATGCTAGATTTCGTTCTATTCATATGCATGTATTCATTTGTTCTAAGCAAAGCTGATAGATGGGTGGTAGACTTTAGTCCTAAATTCTTCAATTTCTCTTGGGACATTAAGCAAAACACTGAATTTTCTAAGTACATGGCAGGACCCCAAACAATTTGACACCCTCAGATACTATGGCCTAGATCAAATAAATTTAGTACGGGGTCTAGAGTCTAGTAATATCACCATGATAATCATTAACAGTAACACTATGGGAAATCAAGGAGTAGAATCTGTTTCAAAAATGGCTCCATTTATATTTGTCTGTTTAATGCAACCATACATAATAACAGAATCAATTTCAAAAGAAATTATAGTCTGAAAGGTGAAAAGTCCTAGATTGAGGGGCTAAATGTCTGGTGAGGGTTTTCTTTCTACATCACTACACAGTAAGCAGAAGGACAGTCAAGTACAAGAAGAGCAAGTGGAAGGGGCCAAACCATCCTCTTGTCAGGATCCACAGCTGTTATAACCCACTCGGAAGCAATGGCATTACTTGCTGCTCTTCAGATCTAATCACGGTTTTTGTGTCAGTATTGGGTTTGAATGCGGGGCCTGGGCACTATCCATGAACTTTTGTTGCCAAGGCTAGTACTCTTACCACTTTGAGCCACAGATCCATTTCCAGCTTGGTCTGGACTTTGCTGCCCAAGCTGGCTTTGAACTGCTATTCTCAGATCTCAGACTCCTGAGCTAGGATTATAGCTGTGAGCCACTGGCACTGGGCCTACTTATGTCTTAAAGGTCACAATATTGCTGCATTAAGTTTCCAACACACGAACTTTGAGACACACACCTGGACCATCACATCATCTTAACTATGTTTCCAAATAATCTACTGGCAAGATGCAAACTAGTAGACACTTACACAAGGCTCTGCAGAGTACACTGTGGTTTTAGCAGGGCAACACTTATAGGAGTCACTCCATTGTTTCCCAAGACATTTTCTGCCAGGCATAAATGTGTCAGCTTCTGATTAGTGATGAGAGCCATAGAAAGATCCTTACAGCTAACTTCTGTGATGCCACATCTCTGGAGGCTAAACAAGAAACATAAATGTGAAAGGATCCATTAATTCTCAGATTCATACCTCTCTTCCCAAGGAAATAGCTGCTTATAACTCACATACTTCTACTATAAAACCAACCTTAACAGATCTACTTAAATTGTGAATTCCATTGTACCTGTGTACAGGATATGATGAAATGAAAACAAGAAAAGCCTAGAAAGGAATGACTAAGATCATTCAAAAGAAAAGTGTTTAAAAGCCCAGTAAAAAAGAAAAGGTCTGGGGTATTACTTAGTAGTAAAACATGTGCCTGCACAAAATCCTGGGTTCAATCTTCAGTGTGTGTATTGCGGGGGAAGGGTAACCAAGATAAGGGAACTATGGAGGGTACATATAAAATGTGTCTAGTATTCATAAATTTGCCACTTACTGCTACCCATCCATCTTTCCTACTGAAATCCCAATAACGTTATAAACAAACTGACTCACGACAATTTCTCTATGCAACATGTTGGACTTTCTAAGGCCTTGCACAACAACTTCACTCCATCATCCAATAGATTATTGGCTGATAGATTCAGAAATATCAGGCTTTGGCTTCCGCTAAGAGCCTTAGCTATACTTGGACAACAAACTGAAGTTAGGTTGCAAAATTCCAAACTGCAAAACAGAAAAAAAAACACAGAAATTGTACATTCCAGAAAAGAATTACAACCTTCACTCACCTTGAGAACATTTGTATCTCCCTTTTTCACCTTGAATTAGTACTGTGGGGTTCTTTTTTTTCCCAGTCTGGGAGGAGTTTCCTCCAACTCCCACTTAGAAGATGGACAGGAGGAGGACTGCCCCATTGCTCACTGATTTGTGGAGGAGAGGTGGAATGGGGATCAGGAACAAAGGCTATGCCTCCCAGGAGCTCTTCACAAGTCAACCCCTGACCCAGTCCTTAAAAATAAAAGTCAATCAAAGTAAAATTTTGAAAATAAAATGAGGAAAGGAAGTGGAAAATGAGTGAGCATGGAAGAGTTATGTAGAGATAATTTAGAGACAATGTGTACTTATACATAGCTGGGGTAATACTAGCTACTTGTAAGAGTCAGGTGGTAGCAGCATTCCTGGGAATGGGTTTTCCCCATGAAAATCATGGATTATAGAGCTAATAACAGGAAAAGCCTTCTCGGTCCAGAATTTGGTTTCGATGTGCATCTTAGAACACAGTCTAAAGCTGAAAACTTCCACTTGCCATGAACAAAGGTTTCTTGGGCTGAACTGTGTTCTTGAAAACCTCGTATGATAAAGCCCCTAACCTCTGTTGTGACAATGCCTTAAAATGAAGTCATGAAGGTTAGATGATGTCATGTGGGTAGGGGCAAAATCCAATGGTACTGGGATTCTCTATAAGAGGAAGAGGGCTGGGACTCAGTGGTGGATCCATTACCTAGCATGCCAAGGCCATGGTTTGATCCCCAACATCACACACACAAGAGATACATGTATAAGATCAAGTACAAGATCATGTAATTCACATATAGAACTTACAGAAAGATATTCTGACCAATAAAATATAAAGTGTTCCTTGCTTTGTAGCCACAACTTATAAATAGTAATTTAGATGTTCAACAGCAGTTGTCCAAGTTTCAGGACAAAAACAAAGAGGATCAGTGCAAAAAAAGAAACATGTAAAGAATTATAGAACTTTCATGAACTCAAAATAGCTTTTTATTGCTTTTTAATAACTTATGTAGTATATCAAAGACCTTGCAATCTTTGAATTAAAGAAATATCCTAATGTAAAAAAAAAAAAGGAAAGAAAAGATCATGTGAGCAAGGAGAGGCAAAGCAGAGACCTGTCCAGAAAGCAACTTGCTTGCCCCTCACTCCTAAACCTCCAGCCTCTGGAGTCATGGGAAATAAGTGAGATTTTGTTTGGTTGGTTTTTTAAGATAGGGCCTTTCTGTGTAGCCCAGCCTGTCATCAAACTCACAATGTAGCTCAGGGTGGCTTCAAGCATTTGATCCCTCTGTCTCTACCTCCAAGTTCACCATGGAGAAAAAAATTTTAAAATAGCTGGTTTATAGTATTTTGTAGGGCATCCTTGAACACATAAATCAAAAGTTACTATGTCCATTACAGTGGCTCACTGGAGGCAGAGATTGAAAGGATGACCATTGGAGGCCAGCCTAGACCAAAATATATGATACCTTATCTAAATAATCCAAGAATGGTGACACGTGGAAGATGAATAAGATTGCAGGTTAAAAGGATAACTGTTTAAGGCTGGTCGCAGGTAAAAAGTGTGAGGCTCCACCTGAAAAAGGACCCCCTCCCCCCAAAAATGACAAGAAGAATGACTCAGGCAAAGAGCCGTAGTAATGACTATGAGATGCTCTTGAGAAGCAGAGCAAAAAAGAGAAACAGAACTTAAATCATTTTTTGTTTTTTTTTTTTGCTTTTGTTTTGTCGGTCATGGGGCTTGAACTCTGGGCTTGGGCGCTGTCCTTGCACTCTTCAGCTCAAGGTGAGCGCTCTACCGCTTGAGCTACAGCGCCACTTCCAACTTCAATCATTTTTAAAAACAAATTTAAAGAGATCCTTTCTGACCATAATAAGAAAAATGCTTGCCAGTAGATCTAAAGCATTTTCCTGCAAAAGCAATGAAAACATCCTAACATCACCAATGACAAAAACAGGTAGTGGAGGAGTTAAGAAGAGTAAAAGTTCTGAGAGAAAGTGGGGATCAAAAACCCACATTGTCATACATCTACGAAAGCAACTGCAGAACATAAACTATGCCATTCACATACAGCTCCAGAGAGCCCAGGGGACATAACACACTCCTTCCCCTCCATGGCCACGTGATGTCTCATCCCACCTTGAGACTCTGATAGCATAAAGGCCATTACTATTTATAGCTCCTCAACCGTATTCAACTCCAGAATGAGAAGGCAAAAAAGCCTCTTTTCTTTACAATTCAGTTTCTTGTTTTCCTAGTCATTGAATGTCTTGTTTATTTGAAAATATAATATCAAGACATAATACCAATCACAGGCAAGTCAATCTAAGGAATGTTGAGAGTGGACAACTTGGGCTTTATTTTGATCCCTAAAAGGCAGCAAAATATCAGGATAGATTCACTTTTAGCTTAAATTTAGGTTTTCCTGGGGGTCAGCTCTCTCTGTCTCCCTCTCCTCTCCCTCTCCTCTCACTCTCTCTCTTGTCTCTCTCCCTCTCGTTGTTTCTAAAGCTTGAACTCATGAGCCTTAGCTTACTTGCTCACAGCTTTCTACAACTGTAGTCACACCTCCAACCTGGCATTTTGCTGAAGATGGAAGTCTTTCTGACTTTTCTACCTGGGCTAGATTCAAATTTCAATTCCCCAGGTCTCAGACTTCAGAGTAGTTAGGATTTTAGACATGAGCCACTCATGCCTTGCTATTTTTTTTAAAATTGTTTTTGCAGTTCTAGGGATCTCAATACTTAGGGATTCCTACTTGCTAAGAAAGCACTTTACTACTTGAACCATGCCTATAGTCCTTTTACTTTTTTACGTTGAATCTTGAGTTTTTGCTGGGATCTTGATCCTCCTACAGCTACCTCTCAAGTAGTACTGATTTCTACAACTCTGTTTTATCAAAATAGATTTAAGCTAGCTCTAAAAAGTCCAGGCTACATGTATATCATTCAACTTGTCAAAATCAGAATTGTAAGTTTTTTGCAAACAGAAATGCATGACTTACCTCAGACTCTGTAGTATACACTGTGGGTTTTCCAAGACTTCACATAAGACTACTACTCCATTATTTCCTATGTTTGACCCTTTCAGATCAAGATGTATCAGGGTCTTGCTGTGAAGCAAAAAGCTAAAGATATCCGTACAATTCACAGGCAGAGACACAAATCTCAACCTTCAGGAGAAAAATTCACAGAGGGATTACACACCTGTCTCCATCCCTGGCTGTTGTCTTCCTGTTTTGTTTTGGTTTTGTTTTTATAATCTAATGCTTGGATAGTCTACAATTATTCTCCCAGTTCACTCTAGGTTTCTCATATTCAGACCATATATTTGAATTTCAGGATATTGCTTCAAAAGGCAACAGATTACAACTTGTATTTCCATCTTTATCCTGACACTCCTTAGTTTTCTGGCCTTAAAGGAAGGTGAGGTAATAACATCGGGAGAGGCACAGAGCAGGCTCTGAATTTGTCATCTCAGGATGGGCTACCAATAATGATTAAGGTGCATTTTAAATACTGCAACGGTTCACAGTATTGAAATTCTTTCCATATTCCACAGTTCATAAATGATACCAGTGTTTAACAAAACACCTTGTTGCATATATTCCTTGTCATCTTTTCTTCCTTTGTCCAAGCAAAATATTAAATTTTCTGGTATTTGTTTTCTAATCCCATCAATATTACATACATGATACTTGTGCCATTGCTGACCCAAATTCTCACTGGATTCACATTTTTTTAATGTTCAAAGCCTCCTTTTATAATGCCATCTCTCCTCCCCCTAACCACTACTCACCTCTTCCCCAATTTCCTCTACCAATATAAGAATTTTACAAGTTCATAACAGTAACCATCTTCGTTTAGTAAAAGTGTCTAAGGTATTCTGTAAGTATCAGTTGGAAGCACAATCTCAATCATTAGTGGGAAAGGACCTGCCAGTAAGCTGACAAAGGCTGGGGAACCATCACATGTTACTAACCCTGAGAGATCCTGGTATTTTTCAAGGAGTAGACTAGCCTAAAAGAAGGAATTGGTTAAAGATTTGGACTGATGGCTTTCAATGAAGGGGTCCCGTGAACAAGATGCTTGGGGGTGACTAGAAGGAATTCCATAATGTCTTCCTTATGACACATCCAATGGCTTCATCTTATCTATCTAGAAGACCAGACCCACTCTAGTTGACTGAAATCTAAGATCATAACTCTTTTCAAAATTCTTAGACCCTGAGGAAAATATCCAATGTAAAAGCTGTTTTTCCCCCAATAGAACATGTTTGATGACAATGGAAGTTAAGGATCTATCATTTATTCAGTATTATGTATTATTAAGCACTGAAGGCTAAAGAGCCTTGATCAGGATTTTTCTAGATGAAGAGCACTGAGCTAAATCCTAGTCTAAGCAATCAGCATCTAGAAAGTACAGTATTTATCTTTTATTCTACAAAATTACCATTGTTGGTAATTAAGGGCCCTGACAGGCATCAAGTACAAAAGAATATAGAAAACACTTCCCAGCCTCTAATAAACCCAATTAAAAGGAAGGTAGTCACTTGCAAACAAGTACATTTTAAAAGATGAGGGTACCTAGAATTAAGATAAAAATTTAAAAGACTGACAACAGTAATAGCTGACAAGAATGAGGAACTTGGGACATTCATATATGGCTGATAGAACCATCAAGTGCTACAGCATTTGCAGAACTGTTTGGCATTTTAAGAAAGATATACATTTGGAAACTTGCCATCTCATTCCCCAGTATTAGTCAAAGATGATAACATGTGCCACAAATCAATCCATAGTCTTTTCATTAACAGCTAAAAAATTGGGAAGACTCCAGGATTCTATTGACAAGAGAAAAATGGGGAGTATATTCATATAATTAGCAATAAACTCGAAATATGCAACCATAATTGTGTGTATGTGTCTCATCCTCAGGGCATGGGCACTGTCCCTGAGTTTTTTCGCTTAAGGTTAGTAGTCTACCACTTGAGCCACAGCTCTACTTCCAGCTTTTTGGGGTAGTTCATTGGAGTTAGTAATTAATAGGACCTCCTTCAAACCTTAATCCTCAAATCTTAGCCTCCTGAGTAGCTAGAATTAGGGGAAGAAGCCAGCAGCACCCAGCCAACAATGGTAATTTTGTAGAATAAAAGATAAATACTGTACTTTCCAGATGCTGATTGCTTAGACCTAGGATTTAGCTCAGTGCTCTTCATCTAGAAAAATCCTGATCAAGCCTTAAAAACCCATGCCAACTGCTTAATATACCAATGGAGCCTTTCCTAGAACAAGTTAAACTCTCATAGTCTAAAAAGTTCCCACTCTTCACTGGGCTAAAATATAACTGTGCCTAGCTAACTATGTTGGAGTAGCATGTCATTTGGAAATTGCATCCTTCTGCAAACACAATAGTCTTTCCACTAAGGTGGCTCTATTCAGTCACCAGGCAACGGAACTATATATTTCATACAATATTGTGTTCTATATGGTTTTCTGTTTATTTTTTGTCTTTGGGTTTTGGTTTTGTGTCTGTATATGTATGTGCTGGTGCTGGGGTTTGAACTTAGGGCCTGAACACTGTCCTTGAGCTTTTGTGCTCAAGACTAGTACTCTACACATCTGCAGCCACAATTCCACTTCCAGGCTTTTGGTAGTTTATTGGACATGAAGTCTCATGGACTTTCCTGCCTGGGCTGACTTTAAATCACAATCCTCAGATTTCAGCCTCTTGTACAGCTAGGATTATAGGCAAAAGCCATCACTGCCTGGGTTCTGTTGGTTTCTTGTAAAAAGGAGTAGAGCTGGAACCCATCCATAATTTAAAAAACTAGAAAACTTCATTAAAATTTCTCATGCCAGACTTACAGTAATTTTTGCAGTTTACAGACTGGGTGGCTTAGCTCTTGGTAAAATATTCTCATTGGTACTTCATGAAGGGTGCTATGGGACAGCTCCATTTCTTTCAATTGTTCACTCATGTGAAGCACAGAACAGAAGATTTGCCAATTATGAAGAATTTGAGAATGATTCATTTGCCTATGGAATTAGAAAAAGGGAAAGATCAATGAAGCTCTTTCAGTCCAAGCCAACTCTGAAAGGATGAAATCATGGTAAAAAAACAAAAAACAAAACAAATGGAATTTGGCAATGAGAAGAATATCCTTTGCAGCCTGGCTATGGGCCCAGTCCACCAGGACATCTCTGGGCCCCTAGAAGAGTTATTTGCTTCTGTCTCCTCTCTCAACTACCTACTTCCTTTCTTTTCCTAGAGAGACTTTGCTTTGGAGAAAGAGTTAGGAGAAACAAGAGAGAAGTCTTTATAAAAAGCTCATATTAGCTTTTCATAAAAATTAGTAACCCTAAAGAGAAAATTAGAATTTGCAGGTAATCACTTTAAATGTAATGTAGTACAAATTAAGAACCAATGCTTTGAGCACCAAGTTTATCACTTAAATGCCTTTATTATTTTAAGAAAAATCATGTTGATTTTTGTGGCCTCTAAGTTTACTTCATCTTTAAACAGAAATGTCACCTCCCAAAAGTACTTTGCACATGCTCAAATGTTTGAATTATGGGGTATATGACCACCAGGAAAATTATAAGCAAAGATGAAAATGCAAAACAGTTTAAACTAGTGATCACAAGTCCGTGCACTAGTGTCTAACAGGCACATGTTGGAAGCAAGCAGCCTGAATAGCAGGCAAGCTGGTAAACTTACTAATTTGTGTGAGTCTGCTTCTTCATCTCAGAAAAAAAGAGACAATGGATCTATTCCTTAGGATTACTGTGAAAACACCTATAGAAAATGCTTACCAACATGTCTGTTCCTAATTGTGTATATTAGCAAGTGTTTATATTAAAATACTTAGATAAGATGTATAGGCAACATACTCAACAACAAACACTTGCAACTGAGTGGACAGAAATTTACAATCCAGTGACTGTGAAGAGCACATTATAGTCACCTACAATGTGCCTTTTACAACAGTGGCTTTTCAGACATTCTTACCAATAAAGCAAATTGTAACATCAGGTAACTGTAACACATGTGAGAAAAGTCAAATTAGGTCTGACAATGTTTGTGTGCACACATGTGCACATACCAGGGCTTCAACACAGGGTTCATCTTCTCACTTGCTCAAGGCTAGCACTCTACCTGCTCTACCACTTGAGCCATATCTCCACTTCCAGCTTTTTTTTGGTGGTTAATTGGAAGTAAGAGTCTCATGGACTTTTCTGTCTAAACCATGATTCTCAGAGTAGCTAGGATTATTGATACAAGACACTAGCATCCAGCTAGATCTGACAATCTAGTAATCAGATTAATTCCTGGTATTATTAGGTATGAAAAATATTCTAATTCCCTGGCCAGTCTCACAGAATTAAAAGTCAGTTAAGAAAACTCACTGAGTTCAGAAAGAATGACATGGCCCCATTTGTTAGGAAATGGAAAGACTTGGAAAAAATTATACTAAGTGAAGTAAGCCAGGCTCAAAGAAACATAGGTCCAATGGTTTCCCTTATTTGCAATAACTTATATGTCTAGGATAATCTTACCAGACAAGTAAAAAAGGTCAAAAGCTATGCACATATGACCATTAGATGGTGCTAAGCAAAACAAAAACAAAAACAAAAACCCAAGATAGGGACAGAAGAGGTTCTTTCTTTGTTGTTGTTGTTTTTAAAGTACTTATAATGTACTATGTGATTTCTTTTGTTTCTTTTGCATGTTCTTCCCTCATAGTATAACCCATTTTCACTGTATTTGATTCTGGTACCCTGCATCTTGTACATACATTTTTCTAATTTGGGGAGGGGAAAGAAAATAAAATGCTGAAACAAGGATACAGGTTGATCCATTATAACAATGAAATGTACAAGAATATGTTCAAAACAAACTTTACAACTGGTGGGGGGAAGAGCTGGGGAAGTAGGGAGGGAAGGAATGGTAAAGGGAAAACAAAGGAGGTGGTAACAATGCTCAAGAGGAAATGTACTCATTACCTTACTCAAGTAACTGTAACCCCTCTATATAGTATCTTTACAATAAGGAAATCATACCTCCTCAAAGGAAGGCAAAGCCCATAATTTTAACTCCCAAAGGTTCAAGAGAAACTCACATGAGTGAGTTTTCTTCAGAGACTGTTTGGCAGTTGTTTATAATGACAAGGTTGGAATACCAAGGACTAGTCAGATGGTGATCCCAGTCAAGTTATGCCTCTCAGTTCTGTCATAAGTAAAATTGAAACAGTACCTACCTCATAAAATGGCTGGTAGAGTATATGGTTAAGAATGTACAAAATAGGAACAGGGTAAGCACACTATACCTATAAAACACATATTTCTATAGATAAATGTAAAAGGGTCATTCTTTCTGAATTCACCACCTACTGTTTCTTTCTAATCTCTAAAAGACTCCAGGCATGTATGAAAGGGCTGAGATCATGCCAAATTGACAAAACAAAGTCAGACCTACATAGATCAGCTTCAGCAAGAGATTTCTGGCCCCTTACTAAAGCAGGTGCTAGTGGTTTATGCATGTAATCCTAGCTACTGAGGAGGCGGAGACCTGAGGATCATGGTCTGAAGCCATCTTGGGTGATTAAGTCTATGAGACTCATTTCCATTTATCCAGAAAAAAGTCAGAAGCAGAAGTGTAGCTCAAGTTGTAGAGTGCCTTCTAGCAAGCTGTATTCACACCCCGTAACGTCAAACAACAAAAACAACTTATCCTGATTCTGGGATCTTAGCAAAGTAACTGTTCCTCTGACAAAAAATCACCTCCTTCACTACTCCATAAAACACTTCCAGAAAACTGACCAAACACACTTACCAACTTGTATTTTCCAGTTGTTTGCTGAAAATCTTTTCAAATACAGTAGTCACAGATACTTTCAGGGTCTTCACAAGCTTGCAACGCTTAAGGCAGAATGAAGATACAAGCAAATGGCTTACTTCACAAATATTAAAGACCATGTCTGGGAAATGTCTCATTACCTGGGTTGTGAATTTTTCATCTTGCATTTCATAGAGACAATGAAACAAGTCCATAAGGTCCAGCTGTGATTGCCAAGAGTCGCTGTTTGCTAGTATATTTATCCACTGCAGTATGTGCCGCTTTATCGCCAGGGACATCTTAAAATTAAGAATTTCCTCCAACTGATTCACTCTATGTTCATTCAGAAGGCCAAAGAGAAACCATTTCATATGAGTCAAATGGGAGTACTGATAACTTTTATGTGCCAGTAACAGCTTCACATTTTCACAAGACGGGACAGAACGGTCACTGATTTCCCAATCTTCTTTCATCAAGTAAAACATAGCTGCAAGAAACTCTTGAATATGCAGGTGGGTGAACACATAGCAGTTTTCTACGTCAGGATCTTTCTGGAGAAGTTTTGCGTCCAGAAACTTTGAGAGATCAAGTTTGGTTAGCTCATGCTTTCTGAGACTGTCTTTGTAAAACACGTGTGTCATGGCCCACACTCCTTCTACAGCCAAGTGGCACAGGCTCCTCAGCTGGATTTCATTAGGTAGGGAAGAAGAGCCTCCCTCTACCTTTGCAAATAAGTCAGAGATATAGTAGGTAAAGAGAGCGGTGGTGGTTTGGCAACTTGTTATGAAGTTCTCACCTTTCTCCATTTGCTGTTTCAGACATGCACAAACCATCCGGCACATGACAGGGACACGGCACATGTTAAAGAGCATCTCATTTTTTGTGAGCGAGTTGACTGCTCTTGTAGACAATTTCCGGTCTCTGAAATAGCGCTGAACGTAAATGATCTTCGAATCCTCAGACATTCCTAGAATCTTTACAAAACGCTCGCCCTTCAGCAAAGACGGCAGTCTGTTCGAAGCCGGGAGTCTCGTTACCACCAATAAGATAGACTGGGGAAGCATCACCTTCCTTAGCAAACTGCTCATAAGGAAGGACACGGGGTGTTCCAGTGTCCAGTCATTACATAGCGCAAACTCAGGCTCCTCAAAGGCGAAGTTCAACTCTTCAAAACTATCCACAATAAAAAGGAGACTACTAGGCTGGGATAGAACTGTTTCAATAGCAATTTCTGTTGGGGGCCAGTCCCTCGATATCAGTTGAGCAAAGCTGCATTCCTTCATCTGGCTAATTTCTCTCCCATTGAGATAGAAAACGTAAGTAAATTTCTCCTGAAAGAGATTGCCCTTTGCCCATTCTAACATTGCCTTTCTCATCAATGTTGATTTCCCCACTCCAGCAGGTCCCTGAATCAATATGGTTCGTGGTTGTTTACTAGTTTTGACATTCACATCAAATATGTGCTCCAATATTTGTCGCTCTTTGGGAGTAATTTCAAGACTAATATCTGCAGGATCTTTCAGCAAAGGGTTCTTCAGTAACCGATTAAATTTTTCCTTCATTTGATGTCTGTATCCTGTTCTTTCACCTACCTCCATTAGAATGAAGCCCAAGGGGGAAAAGACACACATGGTCAAAACAAGTTCTATTCAATTCAATGCTAAAAATGATGAACTTATCAGTACACCAGTCGCTCAAGCCTAAATCCTAGCTTCTCAGGAAGCTGAGATCCAAGGATCTTAGTTCAGAAATTAGCCAAGGCAAATAAATCTGAGAGATTCTTTACCACCAACCAACCAGCAAAAAACCAGAACTAGAGGCATGGCTCAAATGGTAGAACATTCACTGTGAGCGAATAAAATCAAGTGAAAACTTAAGGTCCCAAGTTCAAGCCCCAGTACCAGTGCACATGCATGCACACACACACTGCACACACGTACACACACACACATTCATGCACATATACACACACACAATACTGAACTTAATACAGGTTGAAATGAAAGCTGGCATAGACTTTAAAGGAATTCACATACAAAATTTTTCTATAGAATTAACACCTGAATTTAAGAAATCTGTTAAGAAATATCACCAGCTATTCAACCGATAAAGGGTTAGTATACAGAATATAAAAGAGCTAAATTAATCAAATAATCCATTTAATAAATGGGCAAATGAATTGAACAGTTTGCCTTAGTACAGAAGCACAAAGAAATGATCAACATCCTTAGCCTTAGAGAAATGTAAAATCTACACTGAGATGACATCTCATTCTAGTTATCAAGGAACAAGAGTTGCTGGCAAGGATGCAGGATAAAAAGAAGCCTCATACACCACAGTGCAATCAGGCAATTTCCAATACTGCTATTTTTGAGGTTTTTGGTTTTGTTTTTTTTCTGGTCGGTCGTGGGGCCTGAACTCTGAGCTTGGGCACTGTCCCCCTTCAGCTCTTCAACTCAAGGCTAGTGCCCTACCATTGAGCCACAGCACCCACTTCCGGCTTTTTCTGCTTATGTGGTGCTGAGGAATCGAACCCAGGGCCTCATGCATGCAAGACAAGCATTCTACCACTGAGCCACCTTCCCAGCTCCCAATACTGCTATTTTTGAAGCCCTGAAGCAACACAGCCCCCATTCTTTGGCCAGACCTCCAATTTTAATATTAGCATTAATAACTAATAACATTTCAGGGAACAGGTTTAATATTAGAAGTTAGATTTTAACAATAGTCTCTGGAATGCAAACTGTTTATCATACTTCTATAACACCAAGGACAAATACTTACCTGGCCCTGGCTCTTGATCCCCCCCTTCTACCTCCATGGGCTCAACCTCAATCTCCACTGGTCTTACAGCCCGGGCTGCCCCTGAAATAGAGTCCAAAAGGATCATGAGATTTACAGTAAATAAAAAGCTTGATGATGTCTAGAACAAGGGCCTATACCATTCCTAGAGTTACCATTCTTGGGCCATCTTAGGTTAAGAAAATTAGAGCCAAAAGCTCTACTACCAGCTTAGCTGAGGGAAGAAGCGTAGATTTCTCTCAATCTTCTCACCCTGTAACATTAGTACATACAATGCAACATTAAGTTTCAGCGTCCTTGGCCATCCTGACCTCAAAAGGCAGTGTGAAGCTCAAAGAAGACAATAGATACATAGTTCTAGCTCAAAAAGCTTTGCACGTGAGTATGACATTTTAAATATTTTAAACCTAGGGATGAATTTTAAAGCCTGGATTGGCTTTATCCTTTAGTAATTTTTTAGCCCATTGTTGAAATATTTCAGCAAATACTTTGAGGATTTTCAAAATTTAGTTAATGTCATTTAGACAAAGTTATACCTGAATAGGATATTTCCTATCACTTAATTCCTTACATCATTGCAATAGGTTTTAGGTAGCGTATCGCCACTATATAAAGGACTCCGCCACTGGGCACCAGTGGCTCATGCCTGTAATCCTAGCTACTCAGGAGGCTGAGGTCTGAGGATCACCGTTCAAAGCCAGCCTGGGCAGGAAAGTCTATGAGACTCCTATCTCCAATAAACCACTAGAAACCTGGAAGTGGCACTGTGGCTCAAGCGGTAGAGCACTCACTTTGAGCTGAAGAGCACAGGGACAATGCCCAAGCCCAGAGTTCAAGCCCTACAACCGACAAAAAAAAAAAAAAGACTTAGCCTACATCAAGAATACTTAATACTTGTCAAAGCTCATAGAACTCAAACTTTATAGACCACATGATAAAGACAATTTGCCCCATGAAGGTTAGAATGTGTTTGTGACTTTAAGTATCACTATCTTACAATACCATGAAATTTGTGAAATTTATGTATCACTTAATCACAGTAAAAAAAATTGCTATTAAAAAAAGAATACTTAAAACTCTGCCTCTGTAGTGTTAGAGTGATCCTATGAGCTTGTCGTGGAGACCTCCACCATGGAGCTTGTGTCCTACAGACATGTTTAATCTAGATCCTCCTGTAGAATCATCCCAACGGCTTCCAGGATATTGCCTTCCCTGTCCCCAGTTCTATCCCTTGACTTACAGTTGATCTCTGCTCTGGCTTTTGCACTCAGAGTCTTCAGGTTCATCTTGTCAAAGATTTTGAGAGTCACATTCCAGGCCTGCTGTCCTGGATAGTATTTGCTCATCATGTTGGACAGTTCCTCCCGCTTGACCTTCTTCAGTGTAGACCAGGGTATTGGACAGCACCCAGGTTCCACAGTGTCCTTTAGGAGTAACTTGAATTTATTGAACTCATTATTGTTTAACTCCTCCAAATACAAAAGCAGCCCAAAATCAGAAAAGAAAGAAAATGATGAGGAAGAGGAGGGTCGTGCGACTGCCATCTTGTCCACAGATCAGCATTCAGACTTCACGGGGAGGGAATAAAAAGAAAACACAGAATAAAGGTCTAAGAAAAAGTCTGAGTTGAAAGTCAAAATACCTTTAGAAATTGAAGTGCATAAACATTTGTTTAAATCTACTATAGAAGGCTTGCTACTGACCTAGTATCTGTATTTCCAACCACAAGATATTCTTCTAACATAGATTATCCTACATTTCTTCCATACTTGTAGTATTTATCCCCCAAACCAACACATCCAAATATAAACATAACAGAAATTAATCTCTCTAGATCTCTCCAGACTCTTCTCTAAAGACATGATCTCAAAATCCATTCCAGAGGAGTATAGTACAGATTAAATGAGTTAGAATTCTTACACCACCTGACACAGAATAGGTTTATATGATTAGTTTCCTCAAAATTTCCCCTCCCCTACCATGTAACATGTATTTCATTCTATAAAATTTGGTTATTGGCTAGGCGCTGGTGGCTCATGCCTCACTACTCAGGAGGCTGAAATCTGAGGATCATAGATCAAAGCCAGCCTGGGCAGGAAAAGTCTATGAGACTCATCTCTAATAAACTACTCAGAAAACCAGAAGTGGAACTGTGGCTCAAGTGGAAGAGCACTAGCCTTGAGCTGAGGGACAGCACTCAGGCCCAGAGTTCAAGCCCCATGGTGGACAAAAAAAAATGTGATTATTGCACCCTGCCACTATTATTCTTGAATTATATGCATATTAAGTGGAACATGGCACCACCTTGTCATTTCTGGCCACAAATCCATAATGACTGAGGATGTATTGCTAGTTCACTGTCTCCTTCCACCTTCACTTCCCCAAATCAGTTCCTCGGGGTTAAGATCACCTACAAGAGTATTCTTATATCCTTGATAGCAACTCCCATATCCTTACCACATTTGAGCATTTCTTTCTGATGCTGTCACTTAGCAATTTAAGAGTTTGAGTAATTCTCACTGATAACACTCTCCATCCATTTTCTAGTATCTTCCAGCTAACTGAACAGCTTTGTGTCCCCTACTGTGACAACTCTTGAAACCACGCAATCACAATCTTTGACGTCTTGCATTTCCTCTTATTTATCAGCTGTCTTAAGAGCCTTATTTTTTTTTTTTATTTAGCAGGAACACTTCAGTCCATCACTTAACCCACTCTCTCCTAGCATCTTCCAGTTCATCTCTTCTTCAGTAGTTTGCTAGAAGATACAGAGCTAATAAATGAAAGAGATGGAATTCAGCTTAGATCTTTCTTTAAATTAAATTTAAATTAAATTTAAATTTCTGATCATTCGTCTCTCCTGGTTAATGGAAAGATAGTGAAAACAATGAACAGAAGGAATAGTCCAACTTTTTAAAACACACCACCTTTCTAAAACACAGAAAATACAGATATTATTCTACAGCTACTTGTGAGCTATTAACGGTTTTAGGAATTTTTAGGATTTTTTTTACTACATTATAGAAATATTTAGATTACAGCTAAATCTCACAAGTTTAAGAGTATTTTTGGTGGGAGGGTTGTTGTGGGTTTGAACTCAGGGCCTGGGCACTGTCCCTGAGCTTTTGCACTCAAGGCTAGGGAGTGCTCTACCACTTTGAGCCACAGCTCCCCTTCTGGTTTTCATGGACTTTCCTGCCCCAGTTGGTTTTAAACTTCGATCCTCAGATCTCAGCCTCCTGAGTAGCTAGGATTTCTGGCATGAGCCATTCACACCCAGCTGGAGTAATTTTTTTAAGAACAGGGAAGATATTTAACAACTTTAAAAAATGTATTATCTTCAAGTAGCTATACAAAAGAGGTGTCATATAACAGTTTATCAGCATAATGCATCTTGATCACCTCCTTCAACAGTCTCACCCCCTTTGACCCATCCCTTTCCTTACTTTTCTTAATTTTGTGGTATATATTGACTGTATTCTTCTCCCCTTCCCAACTTCATTTATCCTTCTCCCCTTAGCCCCAAACGCCTCTTGGATGTACCCATTGTCTGGTGTTGATTTTGACTTACTCTAAAAGATTTACTATTTGAGTTGTCCATAGAATATACTTCAGTTAATTTATTTGTAACTGTTGCACACTGCCCAGGTTTTATTTTTAAATAAAACACTGGATTATCCACTTTCTATAGAGCCTACCTCCAATATCAGCATTAACAGCAGTTCTCAACATGATCATTGTTCTCTATCTTCAACCTTTCTCTGTCCTTTAGATCCTTCCCTTAGCATTTAAACATAACCAAATCCAATGTCATTTTTTAAATAATTTTTTTGTTTTTTCTTTTCTTTTTAATAAGTTTTTTATTGTGAAAATACTGTACAGAAGGGTTACAATCACATTAAATAAACGTTTATTCCACATAATCTTCAGCTGACTTCTCCAGACATTGCAATAGTTTACCTTCTATTATACCTCACCCAAACTTAATACCGGAATTCCATTAGGATAACTCATACTAATTACCATCCTGTTTCATTTGGGGTTTCATTTCTTTTCTGTCAGAGACTGGGACTTGAACTCACTACCTGATGCTGTATGCTCATTGGCAGGCACCCTACCACCTGGACCATGCTCCAAACCCAAAAAAAGAGTCTCATGGACTTTCCTACCTAGGCTGGCTTCAAATTGCGCTCCTTAGATCACAGCCTCCAGAGTACCTAGTGTTCCAGGAGTGAACCATGGGAATCCAGCTTCAATTTTCTTGAACTGTAAACTGATGTATCAAGATTACCTACCTCATAAAGATTAAAGAAGATAATGCATGCACTCAGATTATAATATGCCAGAAGTTGAATATGTGTTTTTTGAGATGAGGTCTTGTTACATAGCTCAGAATGGCCTGGAAATCGATTCTCCTACCTCAGCCTCTGATTGCTGGGATTACAGGTGCAGCACCATATGAAGTTTTAATAATTTACTAACTCATGATTTTTAAGGCTGGAGCTAGAAATATAAAAAACCTACACCATCTTCTAAACTCATAGTGGTATAGATTAAATAAAGGAGACAAAAGAGCAGGAGAGCTTTACACAAGAGCTGAATACTTTTGTGTAGTTACTCCCTCCCCCAGGAAGTGGCGCTCAACCCCATTCCATCCCACCGCACCCCTAAGAATGGGCATGCTGATTTATTTCCAAAGAGTAGGGTATAGAGTTGAGTTGATCAACCTTATAGTTTTAGCAGCCTTATGATCAAGGCTGACGCCATCAGTCATTATTAATACCATGCCCAACTGATAGGTGATGAGAATGGTATATCACCACTGTGGTAGTCCTCCCCTCCAAACCCACAACCTCAGCCCAACCATTAAGTAGACATCAGATGAACCCACATAGAAGGAAGACCTGTATGTCTCAAAACTCTTCATGTCATTAGCCACACAGAGAGATTGAGAAACCATCGTAGACCAGAAGAGATGAGGTGGGGGAAGACTAAATGTGATATGGTATCCTGGACAGGACAAAAAAAAAAAAAAAAACTAGGGAAAATCTACGGCTATCCCAATTGTAACTTAATTGTTTAAGTAATTATCTTAGCTGCAACAAATATGCCATAGTTATGACACAGGAAGTTAAGTGTAAACTATGAAAGTATATTATGATAAAATTTGTTTTAATTGGAGTTATGCATGCTCTATGGTCTAACAATTCTATTCCTCAGAAATCTCCATGCAGAAATGTGTGTGTGCATGCATCACCACAGAAGTTTCATCTAATTCTTCAGCACCACAAAAGATCCAAGTCTCCATCAATAGCAGAAATAAATTAGAATAAACTCATACATTAAGAGTTTATATACAATGAAGATACATGTCACCAAGATGAATGTCAAATCCAACAAGATCATGTACATTTCCATTTTGGGGGGGGGGTCCAGGCATGGGGCCTGAATTCTGGGCCTGGGCGCTGTCCCTCAGCTCTTCAGCTCAAGGCCAGTGCTCTACCACTTGAGCCACAGCGCCACTTCCGGCTTTTTTGTTTCTGCTTATGTGGTGCTGAGGAATCCAACTCAGGGCCTCATGCATGCAAGGCAAGCGCTCTACCACTGAGCCACCTTCCCAGCCCTACATTTCCATTTTTAAAAGCCTATTGGATTGCTTGTGGATGGATATGTTTGAATAGGCTAGGGGTAAGGAATTATCATAAATACCAGTTTAGTATGATCTCTGTGGGAAGTGAGGAATAATTGCCGATGAGATAAATGATCCTGGGATTCTTAGCTCTTGGTGATGTTCTAGTTCCTGAGCTGGTCAGATAGGTATTACTTGATAACTATTCACTAAGTTACAAATTTTAATGAACCAGATAGAAGAGATAGAGACAAGAAGAGGGGGAGAGAGGGGCAAGGAGAGAGGGAGTTAGTCTATGCTAAAATATGAAGCTAGAAAAGTTATGAGCCCAGCATGGTAGTTCATAACCACAATATCCCATACTACCTCAAGCAAAATTAGCAGTCATGAAAATAGCAATAAACATTTTCTCAAATTCCAGAGAAAGAAATGAGCATCTGTCAACCATACTAGAATTTGGTGGGTGCATAGTCCTGGGTAGGAGAACAATTCTAGGTTGGGCTAGAGAGGGTGGGTTGGGCCATACCATAACTCCAGAAGTCTGCTGGAAAGAGGAGAGATGTGCTGTATACTGGAGCACCTGTTTTCATGTTCGGGTCAGGACAGCAGCTCTGAGCTAGGGAGGAGGAATGCCAGGCTGCACAGGTGACTGAAATAGCCAGGGGTTTTAGGACAAGCAGCTGGGGCTGGTGGCAAAAAGGAGGAGTGCCTGCCTTCACCAGCACAGGTGTAAATGGTACGATTCATACTCCCCCGCCCAGGAGGTACTGGGGTTTGAATTCAAGGACTTGGACTAGCCCCTCTTTTTGCTCTAGTTATTTTTCTGATGGGGGGTCCGGGGGTCCAGGTTTTGTTGTTATTATTGCTTTTACCTTAGCTGGCCTAGAACCCTCACCTCTGACTCTTGGAGTAGCT